TATGTGCATATATATTGCCTCCACACAAAGAAATTCCAGGAAAGGCCAAATGGTTGAAGTACAGATAGCTTCCTAAGCTACAGCAAGAAACAGGAGTTTGGAGTGTCTCAGAGAAACTGGTAATGGGTCATGAGAGAACAGAGGAGGAAATCCAAGGACAACAAAGACTGTCTGGTTCTCCAGATGAAGTTTTTGGGTTGCAGCCCTCTGAGGAATAGGTGATAGAATAAGCCAACCCCTGTGAGTTAGGTGGACATCACTTTTATTCTCCTCTCCTGTGATAAACTTCATCTGTGGTTGGGAGGATTCCAGAGAGGGCGTCAGGTTTGTGGCAGCTGCATTCCATTATAGGAACTGACTTTAGTCAGATAAAGGAAACTCAGGGAAAGCCCCTCCCTGTGCTTTGGGAGGACACAAGGGCCAAGAGACAAGAGTTTGGGAAAAGGTAAGAGAGACCTTGGTTCTGAGCAGCTTTAATTAAAGTCCTCAACATATCAAAGCACCATACTTGTAGGTATTGCTTTCTGCCCCAATAGCTACTTACTCAAGATATGGCCATTTTTGCTGAAACCACTTTTATACTTAGGGTGAGTAGATCTGAGACTTTGGAACATATCAGAACCACCTGTATGGGTTATAAACCACACATTTCTGAACCCCACTCCCATAGCCTGATTCAGAAAATCTGAAATGGACACTGAGAATTTGTATTATTAACAATCTCCCAAGTCAATGCTGTTGATATTGGGACCATAGTTTGAAAACCAGTGCTTTACATGGGAGTTAAATGACACTAAACTTAATATGTAATAAAATTACATGAGATCACAAACTGACAAAAACCACCTTATTCTTTTTGGAATCACATGTGTTCATGAAAATTAACTGATTATGGTGACAAAATATGTATGCTTATAAAATTTTCCCAGTTAACTTTAAAAAAACACAAAAAATATTAAGCCACACTCTATGAAAGAGATACAGAGCAAAGGCATACAGGATAGGATGATAATGGCATTCAATGAATGTTAAACTTCCATTGAATTTCACAGGATATTTGCAGTTCATAAGGGTGCCTCTTATTTGGATGAGTAAAATAAATGTTTTTTTGTGTCTTTCAGAATGGCCAAACCCATCTCAAATGTTAGCCACTTAAGAATTAATTTTTTATACATCCAAACTTAGGTACATTTGAACTAAAAGGCATCTTGAAATACAGAAGATAAAATGTGGAGATTGAGAAGGCTCCTTGGCTGCTGGTAACTAGGATGTGGTGATGATATGCAGAAGGGCATCACCATCTTCTGCAGGAATGTGTATGCCTAACAATGTCAGCACTTGCCTTCAGGATGACACTTGTAAGATTTCATGGTGTCATGTGATCACGTGCTAGTTCAAGATTAGTATAGTGATCATCATTATACAACGCCCTCACATCTCTCATACTATGTCAGAGTCAGTTCAAGCCCAGTTTTGACTATTTGGCTCACTCTGTGTGTACTGTGATTCTGTTTATGTTTTAAAATACAGAATTCTGAAACAGTATAAAATTAGCATGCTTACTTATGTAAGCTTGAAATCATTCCTATAAAAACTGGCCATTTACTTGTGTCTTGATGGTTCCCAGGTTTCTGGGAATGACATAACTTAGAGACTAACTAATAAGTAGTCAGAAATAGCCTCAGAGTGAGCATATTATACCAGTGTATGGTGTGAGAGCCTGCACTTCTCTGCCCAAAAGAGAAGCAGAGGAGGCCCAAAGAGATGTCCCTGCTGCTTTTTAAAAATCTCTCAGCAGGATTCCTGCTTAGGCTTCATCTTTATCTATAGTCACAGAAAGATTAAATGTGACTGAAAATCTATCAAGTCCAGTCAAGTGACCTAAAGATAAGGAGCACTAGCTGGGTATTCTGCCCTCACACAAGGCACACACCTTACATAATACACCAGAATTGAGGTAGACCAATGAGTTACGGGGTCAAAATACATAGATTAGAAAAATTTACACTAGGGCAAACTAAGAATGATCCAAGTTCTGTGAACATTATGCAGAAAATCAGTGGTGAAGAATATGTAAGCTATCTAGAAAGGTCTGTGTGCCCACCCCAACTTCAGCACACATGCACCTCACAATCTCAACCGTAATCACAACCACAATCACAATCACAATGTTCCCCTCTGCAGACATCATCCCATTAGACTCCATTTCCTGAAAGTCTTTATGTCCTAGTATCTCCTTAGCATTTTGAACCTTTCCATCATTGATAACTATTTGAAATCTGGTGAAGCCTTAGTTTTCTTTTTAAAAAATCAGATAATTTGTAATTAAAATGATTTTGGAATGTTTTAAAGCTATCATTTAGTGAGCAAGTGAGTAAAAGTGTGCATTTGGCTCATTTTTTTTTATATTTCACGGTATTAGGTGTTTTGACTGAAGGTGTGGCTCAAGTGGCAGAGTGCTTGTTACTCTAGCAAAGGTGAAGCCCTGAATTCAATCCCTAGTACCACCAAAAAAAAAAAAAAAAAAAAAGAGGAAGAACTTTTTAAGTCAAGCATTAAGTTGCTGAAAGACTGAGATTTGGAGGATTGTGGTTTGAGACCAGCCCAGGCAAATAACTTGCAAAACCCCATATCAAGAAATAGCTAGGCTCAGCAATATGTACCTGTCATCTCAACTACTCAGGGGCATAAACAAGAGCACAGAAAAAGGGCTGCAGGTGTGGATCAAACCAAAGAGTGCCTTCCTAGCAAGTGCACGGTCTTGATATTTAATGTTTCACTTGGGAGCCCACTGCATTTGGTCATTTTTGTCACCCCCTTCTACCCATGACTTCTGAGCCATTTCTCATTGTTGGAGAGCACTGGTCTAATTGTACCTGTGTAGAGAGAGGTTTTGTCTCTTTGTGTAGTTTGCTCATTTTGTTTGTTGTGGTACTTCTTTTGGAGTACGTTTCTTAAATTCAAAAGCAGTGATAATCTGAGCTTGTAGTAGTCACATCTGAGTTATGGTGCATACTATAATTCTCGCACTTGGAAGGAAGGAGAATTGAAAGTTTGAGGCCAGCCGAGCTGCATAGTACACACACCCCAAAAAAGGAATGTTTACCTGGTCTAAGCCATGTTAAAGAAAGTTTCACTTGGAATTTGATATACGGTTGAGAATGCAGGTGTACTAGGAGCTTTTAAAGGAGGTATATGTCAAAAATGGAGATAACACTTATTGAGACCTAATATTTTAGCTCATATGTAAAATAAAACATTGACTTCTATCACCAGGAGAGAGAGAGAGAGCGTACTGGCAGAGAGAAGAGAGGAACTTTGTTTTTAGGAAGCCTTTGCAGCTTTGCCTAGAGAAGTTAACCAACTCGCTTGTAAATTTCATTAAACATAGCCTAGAGCTCTCAAAAGATATGACCAGAGGACTTGATTTATTAAAAAAGAGAGTAGGCAGGGAAAAAAAGATACACAGATCTGTCATCAAAGTGGTTTTCCTTACATAGAAGCCACTCCAATCTGTCACTGGTTTCTCAATTAACTATAGCATGTATGGACTTCCTATCTCACATAGGGCTCACACTATGTCCTGCTGTTCTGTGTTGTTGGAAAAGTGTAACCAATGCATGAGCACTCTGTTCAAACTGTTTCTAATATAATTTCCTTGTCCAGTGTTCTTTCAATAAGGGTACCTACTCCTTTAAGGATATGCTGTCAGAATGATGCAAAAGCAAGGTGTGAAATATTTGTTTATTAAAAGACACTATTCTGCTGCAATCTAGCTCCTGCAGTCACTGTAACCAAAAGGGCAGTGCAATTATCATTTCTTTTTAGCAAAATGAAATATTTAGTTGAAATAAACAATGGGAAGTATTCTAACAGATATAGTCCTCCACTGAGTTTTCTTTTTTGTGAAATGACCCTTTTAAAAGTTTTGGTCTGAAAAACCTTCAGATCTAAGAAGCTCCCTGTCCACCTTCACCCCACCCCCACCCCCAGCCAAAAAAGGCTTTTTTCTACTGAATAAACATTGATAAATACATATGTCTTTGAAAATAAATTTATATCTCAATTAATAAATCTCTATTATACCACCACAAAATAGTGTTAAAAAACATAAACTTGGGAAACATACATATATATGTAAATATATATATACATATATAATATGTACATATGTAATATATATATAATATACATATATGATATATATATATATATATATATATATATATATATATATATATACTGCTTAGAATAACCCCTCAGCAGACACAGATCAAAGAATTGCACTGGCTCTGTTAGGTAGTTAAAACATTCTGGAGCCTGTTGACAATTAATGGTGGCATGAAAGATCCATGTGTTGAAAGGGTGGCACCATCTTGAACTTCTGGGGCTATCCTTGGTAGAAAGCAAGGAGGAAGAAAGTATCCGGAAATTGTCCTGCTTCAGTGTAACTCTGTTTGGACTTCAGCCTTGCAATTGCTTTTGAATTCTCAAGCTTCAATCTCAGTCTCCAGGGTATCCGCTCCCCTTGTTATGTGTGAACCTTTCTTGCAGACACCTGTTGGGGACTATTAATAAGACACATAGTAGAAAGAGAAAACTCATTTTTTCTGAGCCAAGAAGGTAAGAGCTACTGTTTTCTAGGGCACTTCTTAATCTTTGGGAGCCCAGCATCTTTGGTGGCAGAACAAAGGCAATGCAGGTGTAAATTCTTAAATTTTTTTCCTACTCCTCAAGGGAAACATTGTCGATGTATTAGTATTCAGCTACATTTCTCTTAAGAGAAGCAACAGAGTATTTCTCCCTTTTTCCTAAGGTTTTTGAACTTGATTCCCATTGCTTTCTAGCATCATTCTAAATAGAACCCCACTGCTTGGCCACAGCCAGAATTAACTTGAATGGTACCTGTTATTGAAAGGGAGTCTGTATTTGCACTAATACAGAGAATACCAGTTTAGAAATGAGCCTGATTGCACGGTTCATTTTGTTCTCCTTTGTAGAGCCAGGCTGCGGCCCACTACAAAGGCACGAAACATGCCAAGAAGCTCAAAGCACTGGAAGCCATGAAAAATAAGCAGAAATCTGTAACTGCCAAGGACAGCGCAAAGACTACCTTCACCTCCATCACTACCAATACCATCAGTACCAGCTCTGACAAAACAGGTTAAGCGATGATCTTTGTTGTCATTGTGATCATTGTTTGGGGGTTTTCTCCTTCGTCTAACCCCATGTCTGTGTAATTATGTGCCTGTTGCATTGATTCATGCTTGAAACCATCTTTCTGTATAATGGCAATTGTTTACTCTCATTTTTCCAGTACCCTAAGACAATCCCTAGTTATATTCCACATTTTGCATTTTGAAATAGTCCCATGGCTATTCAGAGGAACACAGCAGTCATACATTCACTGGAAGCCCTAACCCTTTTTGAAAAGGAAATCCTTTCAATGTGTATTAGCATCTTGTACACAACATCTTAGCTTATAACTGCATGTCAGATTTGATTTCACTGTGAGTACTCAGCAAAGTATGCAAAATGACTTGAGAAAGCCCCAACAACAGCATTGCTCCTGACAAGAGTTTATTCTCATAAATTCCAAGCATTGCATTGTTTTAAGTAGTGGCTGTGTGATTCTGGGCTCATTATGGCTGAGTAACCTTCCCTCTGCATATCCAAGTAAGTGTTATAGATACCCATTATTCTTTTTAACAGAGTCTTCATAGTGAAGTAATGGTCTCTGAATGGCCCCTTGGGATATCTCCTGTAAACAACCAACTTACTCACAGTCTGGGAAAGCCATGGGTTTTCCTAAGTTGATGTTTTTAAAATAGAAGACCACCGCTCCTCAGATTTTACATAAAAAGAAGACCCATGTGATTCATGGATGTACCTATTATGTACCATTCTATAGGGCCTAGTAAGGGTGGTTCCTTTCCAATCTGCACTAATGGCAGTGGTGAGGAAAATATTCTCAGTAATGATAATGTCTTAATTAGAAGAGAATCTTTTGGCCATGACGGATGAAAATATAGAATGCTAAACATTGAACAAATAGAACAGATTAAAATAACTTTATTATACTTGGTAACACCTATTGGACACATATAAGCTCCTCTAAGGATCTGGGGTGATGCTTGTTTCTGTTACTTTAAAAGGGATATGAATTCCATGGCACATGGTGTGTCCTTTACCCAGGTTTTACTGGTAGGCGTATCATGCCCCACTTCTATGTGTACACCCTGAAGCTGGATGTGTCATCTTTGTATACTAATACCTGACCTGATATGCTGTTCTTGAATAAAATATTTATTGAGTAACCATATCTTCTTTCACCCCTTTGGTTCTGTGATATATCCAAGTTTATGCCACCACCTTCTAAAGGAGTAGGGGGTGCCTGTCTTATTCACTTCTTCGGCATCCAGAGAAAAAGCTGGATCATGCCATTTTATTATTTAGATGAAAAAGTTACAGGAAAAGCACTTGTCTTTTATCTGATAATTGAAGGTTCATTGATTTGTTTTTGTGGCTGTAGGGGGATGAGTGATAATGGAACTGGTGAGTATAATTTGTTTTCCAAGATATTGAGGCACAGATGGTGACCCTCAAAGCCATCCTTGCCATAGAGAAATGCAGATAGCTTTCTTTTTTTTTTTTTTACACAAATGAATGTCTGTCTCATTGGATCTCACCTGACCCAAGGAATGGGTTAAGGGAGGGTCCTGCTGTTCAAGAACGGGGAATTCTAGGTCTAATTCATGATCGAAATTCTGTATTTGCTTTTTCTTTCAACAGACAGGTTTAAGAGAGGCAGATAGCTTTCTAAATGCAAGGAAGATAGTAGGGATGGAGAACAGAGAGCTGAGTTTGATGTAAAGAATTAAAGTATCATTTTGCTTTCTCCCCAGTTTTTGTATTTCTCAACTGTATTAATAATGGTTACTTAGGTTATCCTGGATTCTTCTTAAAATGCTAAAATCTTTGTTACATTAAATATGTACATCATTTAAAAATATATATATGTGTATGGTGGACAGAACTGCTAGCCTGGGTTAGGAAAGTCCTTCACCTGTGTTGTTTTTATGGAAATGAGGTGTGAACACATAGTTCTATCCTTTATCTTACAAACTAGAACGTAAAGGGTGACTGTCATCAAGTCTCTGTCCTTTTACAATTTGCATGGGAACGAATTTTGAGATGGGTTGTGGGAAACAATCTACATAAAATAAATATGACAGAACTTACTTAAAAGTGAAAAGTGTGCTGAAACAGTGAAACAACACTGCAATCTGGAACTAGAGAAAATTCCAGAAGTGACAATAAAGTCTGTGAAGCTATTGCAACTATGTAAAGCCAAAGGAAGAACATGGCGGTCACCAAGAAGGCCATTGTTGCCGGGCGCCAGTGGCTCACACCTCTAATCCTAGCTACTCAGGAGGCAGAGATCAGGAGAATTGCAGCTCAAAGCCAGCCCAAGCAAATAGCTTGCAAAACTCTATCTTGAAAAAATCCAACACAAAAAAGGGATGATGGAGTGGCTCAAGGCTAGGCCCTAAGTTCAAACCCCAGTACCTCAAAATAAAGAAGGCCATTGTTTTCCTAACCCACAGGGACTAACAGCTGGAAGACATAGTCATGGAGAATGAGGCAGTGAGGATTCCAACACATTCACTGCATGCTTTAAGCCAAATTCTGTCTTTAAACTTGAATTTCCACACAAGTCTCTATGAGAACTGTCTAAGGAGCCCAAGAAAATGCCTCTTCCCATTAGCATTTCAATACAAACCTGAGGCACATGGGTTGAAAAAAATTGAGTTTTCTTAAAATAATAACTTGTCCTTTTTCCTACTCTCGGCTTCCCTGTACTGATTAGCACAGCTCTGAAAACAAAGTGATTCTCTGCACTAGATTTCTGAAATGATTAAATACTTGTCAGAGGAGAGAGTGAGATAAGGCTCTAGAATCAAAGATCTTGCATTTGTTACTGATAAAAAAATATAATTCTTCTCTTTAATGTACAAGTATGATAAGGGGTTCATGAACCTACTCATGTGTAAAAGATATTCACATCAAATCACATTTTACTGATTTCACCAAATTATCTCAATAAAATTAATCCAATTAAAAGAAAAAATGTTCCAGTAGTATGGAAAAATAAACTAGTTGCTTTGAAAGTACTGAGCATGCAGTATTTGGGAGACAAGAACCCCTAGAAAGAATTGGGGCCACAACAGTGAAAAGGGCAAGAAGTGATATGAACCTGAACTAGAAAATTACAGGCTTACTTGATGAAAATAGAATTTTGATAGACATTTCCTCTTAAATTTCTAATGATGTATTGCTTACTAATATAAATAATACTCTTAGCTGCTGCCTTAGGGTAACAAATATGTGCAAATGACCTATGAGTCAGCTCCTACTCACTAACTTTCTTGTTATTTGCTTATTTGTTTCCTATTGAGACAGGATCTTGCTATTCAGCCTGAACTGGCCTTGAACTCATAATATTCCTGTCTGTATCTTGAGTGCTAGGATTACAGAGGTGCCCAGCCTATTCACTAACTTTATGATTTTGTTTTTGTTTTTTTACTTTTCTTCATTTTCTCTATATTAGTTGCATGCTAGAGCAGTAAACACAAGGTATTCAGTGACCAACTACCGGTGGCTCATAGAAATCCTAGTTTATCTGTGGGAAGCAGAGAACTTCTAACATTAAACCACAAGTTCAGTTGTTTTGATACAGTGAGAAGGGTTAGGTTGCTGAACTTACATGAAGAAAAATTTACAGGCAAAAGTAATAAATACTTTGTAAAAGTGGTTACTAGTCATTACAGAATATTTCATAAAGAAGCATTTCCAAAAGTAGCCAGAATAACTGTCTGATCTACCAAGGTTTCAAGTTTTTTTTAATGCATCAAAAGTGATGTCAGAAATAAAGAACTTGGAAATGCCTATAATCTCAGTGTGCAGAAGGCTGAGGCAGGAGGATCATGAGTTCAAGGTTCAAGACCAGCCTGGGCTACACAGCAAGACCCTGTCTGAAGCAACCAAAAAGCAAAGAAAAAAAGAAATAGGACATAAAGAAATTACACTCAAAAAAAAAAAAAAGAAATTATACTCAAAGTAAGTTGGCAAATATAACTAAGTTGTTTGTTCTTTCTTATATGAAATGACAACTTAAGAATTATCTGATTAAATTCTGTATAATATCATCATATGATCTTTCTTTACTTTGGATTTTTGAGAAATCTCATTCTTTCCCATGGTTTATCAGTCAGATTAGTCTCCTCCAAATAAACAACCTTCAAATCCAAGAAGCTTTGGCAACAGCTAATTGCTTTTCACTCATACAACTTATCAACTTTTTTTTTCTTTTCACATAAATTTAACCCCAGAGCCAGGCTGTACTTTGCCAGTTCTATGGCCAATGGGGAAAAAGAAAGTCATGAATCACTGGGTTCTTAGGCCTAATTTTTAGAGGAAGTGACATGTAACATTCCTCTCACTTTTTGTTGGAAAGTCATACTGCCAAGTCTGATCACAATGGGGCAGGGAAGAATTTCTCTCCAGGGAGATCTTGGTGAGTAATCATCCAACCTTCCATTGTGGTTTCAACTGTCATTGTGCTTGGATGTCTGAACATTCTCTAGGCTAGTCTTCCTAAATCCAGGCCTGCTTTTCCATGGCCTATTGGTCACCCATGTAGACAGTTTGTCAAATATAATTGGTTCCATCCTCAATTTGACCGTTGTCACCAGCTTTCTCTTTATCCTATCTTCCCTGGTCTTTAGTGCTACTGTTCACAGACTTGAAGGCCGATAGTTGTTTTTGCCTCTTCTTCCTCCATCTATCTCATCTACATAGTTCTTAGAACACACTTTCCTCCCATTCTTAGAAAACATCTATTCCATTTTGACCCATATTATACATATCTGGGCCCATGGGTCTGCATCTTGCCCATCCAAATGCCTAAGTCTCTGTGCAGGTCTGTTTGCTTTTGCTTTCATGCTTATGTCTCAGGAACTACGTTGTTCACTCTATGGTCCATTTATACTCTGCAGTGGGTAGACACCATAACACACCCATTCACAAATCCAAGGTTTATGCTGAGGTTATGTTTAACCTCATGGATGAGATCATGAGCTATGATGGCCATAAGGTGATCACAACCTACCCTTACAAAATTTTCTTGCACTGCTCATCT